GCTTTCCTTGCTACCTAAGTGTAAGGAAAGACCGCAGATTGCCATATGTTGCTTAGAATGATTATAAGGTATATCCAAATTATTTCGTTACCCCCACCGACGCAGCCCCAAACAGTTTCTTTAGAAACTATCAGCCTTAATTCTAGCAAAGTTTTCCAAAGTCTGTACTTGAATGAAGAGGCTCATTTAGCTAAAGCTTATCATGGTGGCCACCCCCCTGGAAAGAGTGCATCACATGTAACCCCCCCCCCCCAACAAGGATTCCATCAGGTTTCCCTGAGAGTTCACCAGTACCCATTTACTCTCCTGGGTGGAGAGAGACAGTGCAAATGTAGAGTATCTTGCTTAGGAATACAGCACTATGACCCAACAGGGTCTCGCAAGCTGACCTCTCAACCCCCAAGAGTCCATGCTCAGTAGCTGTTAAGCCACAGCACCTCCACAAGATGGGCACAAAGGAGCTCTAACCACAGAGAATTTGAATTTCTGTAGTTTTGAAGTAAGCATCAATCAAGACACCAGAGAAGAATAGTGTAAGCCTGTGTGGGCTCACAACAGAGGATAATTTTTGGGTCTATGATACTGAATAACCACTCTGGCTTTTGACCACCGGCAGGTAAAATTTACCAGTCTTTTTTATGACACTGGTATCTACCACAGTCTGATGGTCTTTCTCTGTGTTCCAATTATTGTAAAATATAAAATTTACGTTTAGGCAAAATTTACCCATCTTTCCCAAGACACTGCTGACCACCACAATCTTTCCTTCTTTGCGTTCAATCATATATGGAAGAACTGCTTTTGTCAAAGAGATGGTACCAATAACATTTAGATCAAAAATAGCGCTGTCCACCTCTAACGGAGTTCTTCTCATCCAAGATTTCTGGAAGCGACCTCCATTGTTTACCAAAATATCGACCTAGAACAAGACAACAAAGAGACATGATTGGTTTTTGTCCTCATTTCAGATCTCAGTCAACTGAAACACGTTGTAAAAGAGGGGGCAAAGTACTTTTAAATGTGGTGGGAATGAACTGTGCACCATCCAAATAAAAATGGTGACAGGGACTACGTAAGCAGTGGTTTTAAAACAGTTCTCAGACATATTTTTGCTGAGTGCAATTCCAAATTACTGAGATGACCTTGGAAAGGATGGCTGTTCTTGTTATTTTACCATACCAGTTTTATGCTGTGTTATTTGGTGATGTTTTCATCATCAAACATTGGTGGGGAGGAACATGCATACCAAACTTTTTCATTACTTGGGATCTATAGGTCCCCTCCCTCTATTCTGCCCTCAAGATAAAATCTGCAGACTTACATTGAATTACCCATTTCATACCTTTCCAAAATGCCTGATGACATCTTGTGTCAAATTGTCATGAGTGTCATGTTTTACCAAATCCAATGGAAGTACAAGGATATCTTGTTCTTTTTGAAATGAGGAATTGAGACCAGTGGCAATTGCTGAAAAATAAATGACAAACCATTTGCAATTCATGTTCAAAGTTATTTACATTAAACTGCATACGGTTCTACATACATTTTCTAAGGTGCTGACAAGGAGGAATTTGTTTAACAATCGAGAACTTCTTTAGTTGGTGATCATTTCCTTTATTTTCGTGACCTTAATGTATGATTCAGGGGTGGGATACCTTTCTGAGAAACAGAATTAAAAACATCTTTCAGTAAATGGACAAAGGTCTGATTCGAAATCTCCCATGATGAAATCTTCCATGATGAAATCTTCCATGATGAAATCTTCCATGATGAAATCTTCCATGTAGATATGCTATAGATAAGATTTGATAAAGACAACTCAGATATGCCAGAAAACTTGGCATCACCAGTCGCAAAATAAAACTCTTCTGGAAGGTTAAGACACAAGGCCCAATTGTGACGTAGTCTTCGCGTTCTTAAGCCTGCGTTTGCGAGAAAGCTTAGGGGAGGGTTACAGGAAAGGGGCTTTGCGTGACATCGCTGAAAGCTGCTCCGTAGAAAACTTCTCGCAACACGAAAACGGAAATAAGATGTTGTACTTTTAGAACTTTGTACGAAGAGGATCACTTTCATACAGTTGTGCGAGGTATTGAAAAGTACGAATAAGGAAAAAAAAAAAAACAGAATAAGTCACAACTGTATTCGGGCCATGCAGGATGCATAAAAAGTAAAAGTCGATCGACCTCCGCACTTTGTAAATGTCACAAACATCGATCACGCAATAAGTAACTGTTTTTTCCCATTTTCTCCCCTACCTGCACAGTTTTCCTTGACTCTCTCTAACTCTGCCTTCCTCCGTGCAGACAGCACTAGTTTACAGCCATATTTGGCCAGTTCATAAGCTAAATATTCACCAATCCCGCTAGAAGCACCAGTGATCCATACAACTTTCCCTCGGAGTGCAGTGGCTGGATCTTGGCCGATCATCTCGTACACCATCAACATAAAATCGGCATCTTGATATTTCACCATAAAGTAGCAAAAGATGGGTATAAGAATTGCGGCTATCCAAAATTTTCGACCCATCCTTTAAATACAAGGTGACACGACTAACATGACACGAGTTCCCTGCACTTTCGCTTCGTCGACCCTCGTCAGTGTATGGGAAGTTGTATGCGATTATCAGTCTTTTCACCAGTCTTCCCTCTGCTGCCTCTGGCAGCGTAAGATAAGAAGTTGAGAATAGAATGTTCAAAACTGATGTTCAAGACCGTAAAAGTCTCTAACACTTCCTTAAGTTTAGAGGGATGAGAGAATTTCCGAGAGGAAAGAGCAAATGAATTGGCCTTTGTTTATAAGCATCTTAATTTAAAACAGCTGTTGCTTCCAAAATCAGAAAATGTACCATAACATAACCAAAGTAAAGCACGCGCACTTATTGGTCGTACAGTTAACAACTATTCACTGAAGCGAAGGTGGTTAGTGGTGGATATTTACCAAACTGCGAAGCGGCGAGGTAAATATCCACCGCTAACCACCGACACTGAGGTGAATAGCTGTTTAAGTATATACTACAGCAGTGAGATAATATACACCACCAAAATCGGAAAGAAGCGACTGAGATCGGAAATAAATTTTCGAACTTCCACCCTGGCTGTCCGAAATTTAACAGATGGAGATGTTCTATTTTATTTGAAGAGGACATTTTGTCCATTGTCTTAACATTTCCTGTTTGTTTTCCACCATGTAACCCTTACGATTTTCTAGCTTTTGTGACTGCTATTGAATTCTCATTATCTTGTCAGTTTTTCGCGGGGAAACTGGCTTCAGTTGTGAATGTTCGTATTTTGGGTATCGTTCATGTGTTACACTGCTTCCAGAAATCAAACAGTTCTCACTTCAGAGTTTACAAATTGAAACTAGTTTAATGTTCCTCACACGTTTAGACAAGAATTATTTGTGTTGTTTCTGTAGAACTTTTGATTTCAGTGGAAACATCTCTTAGCTTGTTCCTTGGAATCAAAATCAAGTGTCCTTTGTCCGTGTTACTTGGTGTCCATTATATCTGAGCTCAAGTAAATCAGCAGACCACTTCTCAAAAAAATCACAAAGTACCTTCTGTTACCTAACCTACTACTTCATGATAAAAAATTTTTAAAACTAAGGACTTGTAATTTTCGAAATTTGAACTCCACTCCATTTTTTCTAACAGGTGCATCTCACAGAACAAAGGAGACATCTGCCGGGCTCGACACTGTATGCTTTATGATGATGTCCTCGCCTCCATAGCAGCTATCCATCTATCCGCAAGAGGCTTAAAGATCCTGGTGAGAAAACATACCATGAAAAGTGTGGAGTTACAACTTTTTCGCTCCTTAACCATATAACTTCCAGAAGTGATTAACATGTAACTTCTCCCTATTCTCCCTATAATATCCAGAAATCATCAAGCAAACAGGGACTGAATGAGATATTCAACTTATCAGGCAGAAGTTATCTTGATCTAAAAACCAAGTTCTCGTAACTGATTTACAAGAAAATGCAACCACTGACCCCCTCAGTTCCCTTGAAAACCAAGTGATCCTCCAAAATCTTACCCCCACCCCCCTTCCCAAGGGGATATTAATTATTGGTTCCTAACACGACGAAGGGGACGATAGCGTGCTTCTTTAGCACGCGTGCCGCGTTGATATTGATAACAATAGAGAGGCGACTGGGAAAGAGTCAGGAAAAAGCATCCATCTCGTTTCATGAGTAGCAATTTAGAGCAATTTAGTACTTAGTAACGTTAGAAACACTGCTAAGTGGTGAATTCCACATGGACGGATATTTTTGAAAATAAATTAAAAAAGAAATTTGAACAGTACACGCTATTCCACATCAACAACAACCGAATTTTAATTACACACACACAAAATCATACAGGATTGAAAAATTACAGCGATCTTATCAACCCGCAGTGAGAACTCACATGTATCTGTCAATAATTCTTACAGCGGTTTGCGGATTTCTTTTTTTTTTTTTGGGAAAAAGGTTAAAAACTTTGGAGGTCTTCATCTTTTCGGCCATACTATTTGATTCGTCTTACTGGTTGCCAGCCATTTTACTGCTGCAAATCCCATGAGAATTAGGATCCTAAAATAGTAAATAGGCGTCCTTTTTGGACAAAGAGGAAAACCGTTTTTCTCTTTTTCGGAAATTCAAAGGTATGAAACTTATGATGAAAAAGCAATACATACTACCTAAAGAGGTTTGAAAAATACTCTCTTATGTAAGTCGCCATCAGCACTGGGTTTTCTGAGATCCATATTTCATCCAAGTTGTTCGCCATTCCAATCGCCATAAGTTTTGCACAGCGTTCATTCGGTATTCTAGCAATGTCTACCATCTCAAAGTCTGGCGCGTCTTTGTACTCCTATACAGAACATGCAATAAACAAAGGTAAAATGAACAGAACGAAACACATCTGAGAGAAAATAAATCTCAAGTTGTTCTTTCTTCCACAGCAATACATGCAAACTTGAAATAAAATTTTGTTTAATTCCGTTAATAAAAAGTTCCAGGCACCATGTTTCCACGCCCGTGACAAAATCGAACGCCATATTTCTTTGAAGGTCGGCACCCACGGGGGGACTACTCCCTGCGACTAGTCCATGTGACTAGTCCGGGCGACAAGTCTTTGAAGGGTTTACACGAGGGGGCCGGTAGCAGGGACTAGTCCCTTAAGGCGTTCACACGAGGGCACTCAATTGCACAAGAACATAGGAAAATTAAGAGGCAAAAGATGTTTCCTAGTCTGGGCGTTACACGAAAACAATTAAAATTTGGTAACTTTTCACTGTAGCAATATTAAACATCAACGCAAACGAACTACACTTATTCAGTCGGATTATTCATGCTTTTACGTGTTCCGTTTTTGTTTTTTTTTATTTTATTTTTAACAGACACAGTCAAATAGGGTAAAAATTGTATCAAAACGGCTCCAAGACATCTGTGTATACGTATGATGCACCGTCGCAGTAGATAGCGCTATTTATGCAATAGCGAAAATCAGACCTGAAAAAAAATCAGGCCTGTACGGGATTCGAACCACTGACCTCTGCGATACTAGTGCAGCGCTCTACCAATTGAGCTAACAAGCCAACTGGGAGCAGGCCGTTAAGTTGATTCGTAATAAACCCGTGATGATAAATCAGATACAGTGAATACCGCAGTTCAAATATATGAACTTCATATATTTCATTGTATCTAATGATTTATCATCACTGGTTTATTACGAATCAACTTAACGGCCTGCTCCAAGTTGGCTTGTTAGCTCAATTGGTAGAACGCTGCACTAGTATCGCAGAGGTCAGTGGTTCGAATCCCGTACAGGCCTGATTTTTTTCAGGTCTGATTTCCGCTATTGCATAAACAGCGCTATCTACTGCGAAGGATCGTGCATCATACGAGATATCTATTGTTTACTTCCACCAGCATGGTGGCAATGAGGTAACGTGCGAACCACCTACTTCGATCTCAAATTTACCGCCACATATAAAGACAGTTTCCGTTGGAGAAAGGAAATACAAATCTCAAAAATTCTTGTATTGTGATGAAGACATAAAACAATTTTGAGGAATGCGCCCGCTGTTCACTGCTTTGGAGTAGTTGTAGCTCAAGCTGACTTGACTCTAAGAGTTCTACATCACACGACGGTTGATTGACAAATGGTCCAGTGGGACCTAAGGCTCCTTTTATAGCGCGCCTTCGTGTTTAACTTTATAGGGAAAAGAGAATTTCTGAGAAAAATTAATAAATATGGTCTTTGTTTCCGTGCATCTTAATCTGTACAGCTGTCCTTTTCAAATCCAGACAAAGTAGATCCAATATACTACAGCAGTGAGATAATATACACCACCAAAATCGGAAAGAAGCGACTGAGATCGGAAATAAATTTTCGAACTTCCACCCTGGCTGTCCGAAATTTAACAGATGGAGATGTTCTATTTTATTTGAAGAGGACATTTTGTCCATTGTCTTAACATTTCCTGTTTGTTTTCCACCATGTAACCCTTACGATTTTCTACCATTTCTGACTGCTGTTGAAATTTCTTTGTCTTGTCAATTTCTCGTGGAGAAAGTGGCTTTATACCAACAATTTGTGAATGTTGTCCGTATTCTAGGTACCGTTCATAGTGTCCGTAATATATCAGCTCAAGTAAAACAGTAGGCAACCTCTGAAAAAATCATGATGTAGCCTACTACTTTGATATAAAAAAAAAATTGCTGGAAACTAAGGTCTTGGAATTTTTGAACATTGAAATCCACTCCTTTTTTTTTTTTTTTTTTGACAGGCGCGTCTCACAGTACAAACTGCACATATTTTCTCGGGGGAATGGGGGGGGGGGACATCTGCTGGGCTCGTCGCTGTATCCCTTATGATGATGTCCCTGCCTCCATGGAAGTTATCATTTCATTCATAAAAGCCTTTGAGATCCTAGTGAAAAACATAACATAAGTGTGAAATTACAACTTTTTTCCTTCTTCACCATATAACTTCCAGAAGTGGTTAACACGTAACTTCTCCATAGAATATCCGGACATCATCAAGCAAACAGATAATGAGAATATTCAAACTTATCAGGCAGAAGTTGTTATCGTGATCTAAAAACAAATTCTCGTAACTGATTTAAAAGAAAATGCGACCACTCATCCCCCTCGATCAGTTCCCCCATGAAAGCCACGTGATCCTCCAAAATCTTCCCCCAGGTAACAATTTATGACTGGTCCCTAACACGACAAAGGGGACGATGCAATGGCGTGTTTCTTTAGCACCCGTCCCGCGTTATTAAGGACCTTGCGCAAACCACGACGGCGACAGCAACGAGGACGTGGCAAAACAAAAGATCTAATGGACAGAACAATAACCAGCACGTGATTTTTTCACTGTTGTACATTTCTAAGCCGTCCTATGCAGAACAACAACGTAAAATCACCAAAATTTGCGTCGTCTACGAACGGAAACCGGTGGTAGGGACTAACGTTTCGACAACCTGAGCGGAAGTCACACTGCAGTCACGACTTCCGCTCAGGTTGTCGAAACGTCAGTCACCACCGCCCACTACAGTCCTTCCCAGGACTACACACACCCGGACGATCACACTACACTATATATCACATGAAACCCCCGGGTTCAAACCATTTTAGGTCTTAAGAGGAAATCGGTTCGTGATCTATGAGGAAATCGGTTCGTGATCTTTGAGGGCCACTAGTTACTCAGTTGAAGCACTGTCCCGTGTTACCCTCGTTAACTGAAAGTTGATTGATTGATTGATTGATTGATTAATTGATTGATTGATTGAATTATAGGTGAGTACATCAGCCGTTTTTTTTGTTTGTTTTTTTTTTTGTCTTTTTCTTTTGTCTTTTTCAGAAATTCAAGGCATAAAACTTGTAATGAAAAATCAATACTCCCATACCACCTAAAGAGGATTGGAAAATACTCTCTCGTGTAAGTCATCATTAGCGCTGGGTTTTCTGAAATCCATACTTCATCCAAGTTGTTCGCCATCCCGATAGCCATAAGTTTCGCACAGCGTTCAGTCGGCATTGTTGGGAAGTCCATCTCCTTAAACTCTGATGAGTCTTTGTACTCCTAAACAGAACAACAACAACAACAACAACAAAATTTATTCATTTTTTGCAATAAAAATAAACATGTAATAATCCCTACCCGAAAAATAGTGAAGCTAGTCGCGGCGGGAGGGAAACAGACATGTAAATAAATTCTTCAATAACAAGTTTGACTGAAGAAAGGAAATGAGTTGGAGAACATACATATACACGAACAATGAAAAACAGTACGACGCGTTATATATAGATAAGCCAATTTGGTAATACATCTTACAACTGGAATAAAATTACACGCGAAAAAAAAAAAAAAACCAATAACTACAACTGTAAATGTAGCTAAAAGGTTATCATTTTCTAAACTTATCAAAATAGTATCGACGTCAACATATTAGTATCCTCTCGCATCAAACATGCAATACACAAGTGTAAAATAGACTAAATAAAACACATCTGGCAGAAAAAAATCTCAACGTGTTCTTTCTTTCAAAGCAATACATGCAAACTTGGAGTAAAAGTTTGTTTCACCCCGTTAATAAAAAGTTTCCAGGTACCATGCTTCCATGCTCGTGACAAAAATGAAGAGCATATTTCTTTAAAATTTATTTGTTTCCTTACGACATTGATGTCCTTGGTGAAAGCTTTCTCCATGATTTGCGACTTTACCGGCCCAGGCAGAACCGTCTGCACGTGGATGTTACTTCGAGCGAGCTCAAACCGTACGCCATCAAAATATCCCTGATGAAATCAAAGAGGTTATCCTTTACCACGCGTTCAGTTGGTGAAGCGAAGCAGTCAGGACGGCAACGCTAAGGAAGACGTCGATTAAAATGAATTTCTACTTTTGAATAGAATTTCGAAAAATGGCTGCGCTTGTTTATCGTCTCTTAACTCACACGAAAAACAAACAGATTGCTCAAAAGAAAAGTAAGGGCGGGTTACTTTTGAAAACACTTATTAAAGACAGATCCTTTTATATAAACTTGGAAATTTAACTTCATTCAATCTTTATTATCAAAATCACTCTTACTACTGCTATTTTCTAAAGTTAGCTACCAACTGAAGGTTAAATTCCACTAAGACAAATTCAATTGTGATACATACTTGCAGTGCATGTTTGGTGGAACAATAAACAGCTGAGTGAGGAAATGCTGTGAATAAATCCAAATAAATAATTTGGTGGCTATTTAACCGTCAAACTTTGAGTAAAAGATAGATTAGCAGACTTCACAAGACTAATGTTAACTCAAATCTCTTCAGATCAGTCAGTCAGGCATCCTCACCTGATATCATGAAAGGCATGATTAGATAGCAAGACGAGAGTAAAAAGAGTGCTTTTCTTTCCTATGGAATGGTTATATTTAGTAAGATATACCTGGGAGCAAAATAAACTCAGAGGAGGTTTAAAGTTGGGCTACAAACTAGTTTATCTGGAGATATAAAAATGCCACTCTTGAACAAGGGTGGAAACCAAGTTAAAAAGAAAACCTCAAAATCATTTCCATGATGCATTTTGAACCCAGAAAAGCCATCACAGAACCCTCCCTCCCCCTCTTCAGTTGACCTTCTCTGGAGCATGAAGCACTTTTAAACAAAGTGCAAAGTTGAGTGGAAGACAACATATAAAGTACCAAAACACTGCCTTTTGACAATTCCTATATTAGTGCTCTGCCTATTTTCAGAGGATCCAGTGCTAAATGGGTGTACTGGACTCCTGATAAAAGAGTCCAACTTCAAGCCCCTGCCAAAGACATTGATCTATGTTCTTCTGCATGACACTAATACTGGTAACTCTCAATGTCTCCTCCTCCCCCCCCCCCCCTCTCCCACTAGGAGTAGAAATGAGTATGGAATAACACTGCTCATTTGGGGCAATGTCAATAATCCATGCTACTGCAAGTCAAGACAGAAAGCCAAGAAAAGGACACAACACAAGAACTTCAGTCTTGTACACAGACTTTCCCCTTACTTTTCCAGCACCCCACTGCACACTCATCACTAATTTTCTGATTTCAATCCACCACTCAACATCTATATTTTCTAAGCAGATTTATGTTAATTTACCCACCAAACTTTCCCAAGATACTGCTGACAACTACAATCTGTCCTTCTTTGCGTTCAGTCATATGAGGCAGGATTGCTTTGGTCATAGAGATGGTTCCAATAACATTCGAATCAAATACAGCTCTGTCCACTTCTAATGGAGTGCTTCTCATCCAAGATTCCTGGCCACGAGCTCCATTGTTCACCAAAATATCAACCTACAAAGTGACAGAGAAGTGACATGATTGGCAGGAAGTGTGTAAAGTGGAAAGGTACTCCTTTGTCTAGAATGAAGTATCATTTTTTATTATACATTTTATCCATGAGAGTTATTTTGCCAAGCTACTATTCTTGTAGTGCAGGGTATGTTATGGATGCTAAGTGTTATGTGGGAAGCTTTCTTCTAAATATTTGATTATAAACAAGCCACAGTCTGGCCCTTCATTCCTCCCTGCCACTGAATTTAAGTCTGTAAACTTAGCATTATTTAGCACCTTTCCAAAATGCTTAAGGACATCTTGAGTCAAGTTGCCATGAGTGTCAAATTTCATCAAATCCAATGGAAGAACAAGAATATCTTGATCTTTGTTAAATGAAGAGTCATCACCAGTGGCAATTGCTGAAATGACAAAAAAGAAAGAAAGAAAAAAAAAAAGAAATGAAAACACTTCCAACCCAATATTTAATAAATCAACAGCATTCAAAAATATTTTTAGTTGGTATGACAGAAAAAACTAGGACAGAATTGATACACCAGAAAACTTAACATTATTTCATTATCAGAAACAAAATAAAAATACATATGGACTGTCTAGATACAGGGCCTCAACAATTATTTACGTTAAACTGTGATCCTCAACTCAAGATTTAACCTTCCCCATTCTAACATCAGTATGCATATTCTCCAAAGGCATACAGTTCGACATACATTTCCAAAGGTGCTGATGAGGAGAATTTGTTTTACGATCAAGAGCTTCTTGAGTTGGTGATCATTTCCTCTATTGTTGTGAACTTAATTTATGATTCTGGGTGATATTGTATGGAGAACTTAGATGTCAGTCACTTTTAGGGGTCACTAATGTCCACCAAGGGTAAACGAACCAACTGGTGTAGGATAGGGCCTATCTCTTGAGATACCTTGCTGAGAAATGGAATAAAAAACATATTTCGTTTAATGGAAAGAAGCCTGTCCAGATTTCTTCCATAAAGAAATCTTCCATACAGTTATGCCACAGATAAATTAGATAACGACATCTCATAAGTGCCAGAAAACTTGGCATCACCAGTCACAAGATTAAATTCATCCGGGAGGTTAAGACATGAGACCCAGTATTTACTTTATTAGGTAGCCGTCTGCAAGAAAGCTTTATTTGTGGGGAGGGGATTACGTAACATCGCTGAAAAATACTTGCCACATGTCAACCGAATTAAGACGTCGTACTTTTTAAAACTTTTTATGAGATTTAGAAATGCGTGAATAAAGGAAAAAAAAAACGAATAAATCACATTTATCTTCGGACCATGCAAATTGCCTAATAAGGAAAATTCGATCGACCTCCGTACCTTGTCATTCGTGGCACAAACATCGATTACGCAACGTTTTTTTTGTTTGTTTGTTTTCTTGTTCTCGATTTCATTCGTTAGCCCCGATTTGGTCCAAATTTCTCTCTTACCTGCACAGTTTTCCTTGACTCTCTCTAACTCTACCTTCCTCCGTGCAGACAGCACTAGTTTACAGCCATATTTGGCCAATTCATAGGCTAAATATTCACCAATCCCGCTGGAAGCACCTGTGATCCATACAACTTTCCCTCGCAGTGCAGTGGCAGGATCTTGGCCGATGAACTCGCACACCGTCAATATAAAATCAGCATCTTGGTATTTCAAAAGAAAGTAACAAAGAAGAGGAACCAGAATTGCAGCTATCCAAAATTTCCGACCCATGGTTGCAATGGCAAGGCAAGTTATTGTTCAGTTTTTTCCCAGTCGACTCTCATCTCTCCACTGAAGCGTACAAAGGGAGGTTGGGAAATGATTGTTTGGAGAACCCTTTGATTCCTCTTGGTAAGGTTAAAGATGCAAGGGAAATTTGAGAAAACAAAATAATGGATCTTAGCTTTTTTTTGTTTTTGTTTTTTTAAGTATACGTTAATTAGGAAAGTTTGCCTTTCGAAAGTCAGACGGTGAAGGTCCGAAATCTACGGTGGCCCAGAAGGCTCAACGCAAACAAAAAATATCTTGCAGCAAATAAAAAATATACTGCAGCAAATAAGAATATACTGCAGCTAATAAAAATATACTGCAGCAAATAAAAAAAATCAAAACGCAAAGAAAAAAAGTACCGCAGCAAATAAAAAAATGCAACGCAAACAAAAAATACTGCAGCAAATAAAATATGCAACGCAAACAAAAAAAAGAAAACTCAAACAAAAAAAATTGGAACGCAACGCCAAGGAAGACTGGGTAATAGTTCTTAGTTTCCCGCCAAAACAGTATCAATTGGAACTCGTTTTTGGTTATGGACGAAAGCGATCTGCGCAGGATTATAGAAGATTACTTTCCTCAAGGGTATGAAAATAAAGTTATTATCGAATTTTTGAAGGAGCAGCATGGTAGTGTCATAAGTTCGCTGCAAAACATGGTTTCGGAAAGGCGAACAAGCAAAGGATGGAAAGAGTGTTGGCGTGAAACTAAGAACTATTACCCGGTCTTCCTTAGCGTTGCGTTCCAATTTTTTTGTTTGCGTTCCATATTTTATTTGCTGCAGTATTTTTTGTATGCGTTGCATTTTTTATTTGCTGCGGTACTTTTTTTCTTTGCGTTTTGACTTTTTTATTTGCTGCAGTATATTTTTTAGTTGCTGCAGTATATTTTTTATTTGCTGCAGTGTTTTATTTGCCGCAGTATACTTTTTGTTTACGTTGAGCCTTCTGGGCCACCGTAGAAATCAGATGAAAACGTCCGAAATCGAATGACTGTCCGAAATCTGAAGTCTAATGTATTTGAAATCGACGTTCCGTCGATGGTGAGACCATTTTGTTGCCTTTATACAGGAATAAACTTAGGAATTTTCCAACGGTTGACAGCCCAGCCCCATGTCATTTTAGCTGCTTAGTAGTTCCAGGGTGCTGCTACCCTCCATTTATCACAATCAGCGATTATTTTCTATTTCACCTCGCCAATACTTGATAAAAGATACAATAAAGTTGTTATTGTTAATAGAGTTGTTTCTCTTTTTTTTGGCAAATATTTTTGGGAAAGAAAGTGTGTGAATTCATCTGATTTTGGTTATGTTCGGTATTTTGCTTGTGTTGTGCCCGCTTCACCACTTCAAGAAATCAAACCCTTCGGAAAGGGTCACTCTAAGCGCGATCACAGCAAGTGATTCACATTGAAGCCCTGCTGAGCTGCCCGGGCAGCCCCTAATCGTTCGCATAATAGCTTCGGGAATAAAAAGTGGACATCCAAACGCACACAATTCAATCCACCTCTGTTTATTAGTAAAAAGCTTAGAAAAATACAAACACACTGGTCTACTATTTCACATGAATCCAAGGGCGGAGTCATTCGACTTCTTGCTGCCTTTCAGTATTTTTCCTAGTTTCTTACCCCGCAATTCAAAGATATCCTTTGGATAAACCTCATTTATTACCATCTATCTATCCTTGTTAAGATTGGGACAACTTTTTCAACTTTCAAGTTTTCCGGGGAGGTTTGCCAAACAAAGACAGCGATGGAATATTTGAGCTATAAAACTTCCTTGGCTAATCATTTTGTACATGATTTAGTGGTACTTCAGTTTTAGCTGTACAGTAAGAAAAGGAGAAAAACAAGAAAAGAAAAGGGAAAAACCAACCAACAAACAAGTACCACAGCACTTCATCCTGGATCCAGTAACCAAAGCCCGAAAACAAAGATTATCATTCGATAATATCCTTTTGAAATCATTCGCTGGTCAGGACATGAAGGCCAATTTCATGGTTCTAATACAAATGATAAAATTCAGCAACTGAAAAAGACATCAAAGTCACATCAAATCAGCTAGTAATGAGTCTTAAGTCTCGCCCGGTAAGACAGAGTGATATACAATGGTATTGCCACAATTTTGCGCGCGATGGGCGCCGCTTTCATTCCTCGCAACGCATTGATTCTTGTATCGTATTGTTTATGTTTTGTTCTACTAGAACAACGTAAGGTTTTAATTAAATTGGTTCTCATTTCTTTTTCTTCTCATCGAAGAAAAATTGCTTTACCCCAGCTGAGTTGCAGCGGTTCAAAAGGGATGGAACCGAAAAGACACAAAACTGAGAAAATTACAATAAGCTTACATTCCAACGATGATACAACTGGCAGTCTCAAAGCGGAAGTAACCATTACAAAAGAAGGTTACGTGAACTTAAATTAGAACTGTACAGACGCCGAAGAATTTGTCAGAGTCGACAGGAGTTCTGGACGGTTTATAAATATTTCTACCATCTTTGACAGCCGCAGAAGGAAGGAGTACTACATTTGTGTTAACATCCACCGTTAACTAATGGAAAATTGAGTTGATGATTCGCTGCGTTCTCACCCTTGGACTGCCTTGGACTTACTCCACAAAACTTACGTTAAATATACAACATCTTCACAACTTGATGCACAAGAAAAGAGAAGAACCGTTGAGAATTTAAAGGAAGGGCCATAAAATCGCTTCTGTTGTTATTATCGCTGTCCTCCCATTTTGTTTATAAGTTCATCGCATATCGACGTCAGTTCTGCGTTTTCGGATATCTGGAAAAAAAAAAAAAAGGAGCGAAAATCACATGAAAAGAAAAAAAATCTCGTCAATAGTATTAGAGGGTAGGTGCCGTAAAGGGAAAGTAACGGAAAGATGCAATCTGTGCAAGGAAGTCTCCATGGCAACCAAGCCAGAGCTAACCTCTCGGCACTTGTAAACACAACACGAACAAACCAGTATAAAAAGGAGGGGAAACGGGGAAAGAGAGGCGGGAGAAACAAAGCAAGCCAAGCAACAACGCAAAGTGAGTAAAAGCACATAGCAATGCCCCTTGAACTCTCTTGTGCCCCCCCCTCTCTCTTCACATCCCATTGGAGAAACCGCATAGCCTTGGTTGTAATCTTGCCTAATTACATTTGGTCTCATTAAACACGCCTTATGCATAGTAAAGGCGATGGGTACAAGGATATCACAAGGTAGAAGTGCAATACAGGTCTTTACTTACGGGAGAAACAGGGTGGTAGTTTGGTTACGGAAATACCTACCTTTTGCTGAAGACTCATTTCTAAGCTAGCTGATTTAGTTTGTTCTTTCTTAAGTGCCGCTTTCATTACTGCTATCTCTGACTCATTGGATTTTCGTACTCGAGCAATTTCGATATTGGCACTGAAAACAAAACAAAACAAAAAATTATATAGTGATAAATAAATCGAGAAAGAAGTATATTTGAATGGTCCGCAAAAAGGACAGAACAAAACCTTTCAATTTTTTCCTCAGCATGTTTCTTTAGCATGCGATATTTTTCTTCAGATCTTTTTAGTTTTTCTTGGTAATCACTGGTTGCCTTTTTTAGAATTTCTTCATTCTGAAACAAAAAAACCAACAACAGATTTAAACCCTCAAAGAAAATAACGCCACAAAGCGAAACGCAAAACTCACAGACAACACTACGTAGTTTACTAAGACGAGCCACATGTTACGTACCTTTTTAAAATTTTCCACGACTCCCTTGAGTTTCTCGTATCTCCGGTGCAGGTCTGAAAAGGCCGTCTCTACCGCTGTCAAATCAGATTGAAGCTATGGAAAACAAAGAAATTATTTCGACGGTTCGCTCTGCCTCCTATGTTATGTCATGCGCTTTTGCATACAAATTTCAGATCACTGAAAGACAGTCTGTCAATGGCATCAGTACCAGGAAAAATACGCTGACGAAGTTGCAAGCTGCTACATGGACAAAACACTCTCTGATGTGCAGCGTCGTGTTTAGTTCATATTTGATTGTTTTCCCAAATATTGACCAGTCTAAAAGGGTTATTAATAAGTACATAAGAGGAAAAGGAATGAATTCGAAATGATTTCGCCCACCTTTAAGGATTAACGTTTATACCCGATACAACTGGCAAACCCGACTCAGCAGAGACCCAAGGGAGATCAGGTGGGATTCATCGTTCCCACGCAGTTTCGCTGCTCGCGAAATTTTCGCGCGCGAGAGAATTATGGTCCGCGCGAGAAACTTCGGCACAACTCCCTTGATTCAGTAAGAGCGTAGATTTGTTTTGGCCATGATGGAAAGCCACCTTCAACTAAAAAAGGTCTCATAACTTAGGAATTTCCTTCTTACCAATCAGCCCCGAAATAAAACTAGTTGGGGCGTAATAATTGCAGAAGAATCTTTACCTGGTCTCTTTCTTTCGCTACTTCTGAACTTGAGTGATTGAATTGGTCCTGTGACTTCTGATTTTTTTCTGCCGGAAACAAATGAAGTTAGCGTGTCAATTGGATAGACAAAAATGTCTGGATAACGGGCGAACAGTGGGCAAAATACTGACGGAATCAGAAACATGAACTTCCAAAAATTTCTCCAGCTTAAGTTCTCCGTTTCCACATGCCATCCAGCTTTGAAACAGCAGCAACACATGACGGTCCAAAAGGGGAACGTCGCCTTGGTCAGAAGTGATGAACGTACACACGAACAAAGCAGAACAAAAGAAAACAACGTAACGTTCAGGAGATGTGAAAAAAAAGATTAATGATCTCAATTTTGAAAAATTATCGTGAGATAATATGGAAACGTAATGCGATGGAATCTCGGAGGCAAGTGGAAATTATTACATCGATACATGAATGCACGATCTCACACAAAACGACTTCCCTAGCCAAGACACATTATTTTGTCAAGGCGCAACTTCAATCACAAAAGATACTGTAGTTACCGATCATGTCAGCGATGGTCTTCTCGTATTCTTGCATCACAACTCTAAAGAAAGGGAAGTGCTTTCAGTAATCAAAGACGAGATTGACAATCGGTTAGTTGGTCTTTAAGTAGACTTTCTCAAAGTCGTTCGCTTGGTTTTCTGTTCTGGTGTGGTAGGATCCACTCGGCTCGGCTCGGCTCGCTCGCGCTTTGCGCTCACTGTCGCGCTACGCGCTCAAAAGCGCGACTTGTGAGCACGTCTAGTCTTTAGGAAGTCACACATATGACAAGGCCTTCCAAACTCTACAGGGTAGGTGAGGGGGGAAGTGGCGTGATATTCCAAAAAGTGGCAGCGATGGAGACTAACGTTTTCGCTGGTCTGTTGGTCAATTTTTCAGTTACTCGAGGTTTCAGTTACTCGGCCGGTCGGTTAATGGAACTGATCGCCGTCAGGTTATTAGTTCTCATTCTGTCGCGCGGGTGTTTGTTCCTTCTTTTCACCAACCGACCAGAGGAAAAAACAGAACGTTTTTATCCAGTCGGTTGATCTTTGGTTCATCAGTCAAGTGTACATGTATCCCACAAACCAACTGATTTCAAATTGAAACCACGTTTGTTGATCAACTCTAATTAATCTGTCCACTGATAAGAAATAAAGTGACTGTAATGAAGAAATCAAATGACGATCCTTTTCAGTGTAAGCACCAACCTTAATTCCCCTGTCTCTCTTCTTAACTGTTCATTTCTTTCCGTTAATTCTTTGCTCTCCATTTCACGAATTGTAGCCTCCTCTTCCATCTTAAAACAACAAAACAAAACAAAAAACACAAAAATGAGTGATTGATGACAGACCTGCGAAAATTGCCTCCCCACTTTTCTATCAGGGGAGAAGCGCAGCGATTTTCTGACATACCTGTTGACGTAGAGTTTCTGTCTCCTTTTTGACTGCTGCAGCAAACTCCTCTTTGCTACAGAACAGCGCCTGGCGATTGACAGAAACAAATAACGGCAAATGAGTGCCGTTCAAAGGAGATCGATTTTCATTCGAGCGCAAAAAAAAAAAAAAAAAACTGTTTAACGATGCAGCTAGTATTCTCTTTGTTCAGAAACCAGCAACACGTCGTAAGAGTGACTGGGGAGGAATGGGTGGGCTTTCCAAGGAGTAGAAACCTAATAGGGGACTTAAGAGTCCAATTGTTTCTACACCTACCTTATGGGAAATCTCTTAATAAAAAATTTAAAAAAAATAACATCTCATCTAGTTTCTCCTTACAATGCCACCCTGAATCAAACATCAAGGTCACCAGACTGAATTAAGGAAATGATCACCGTCTAAAAAAAGTTCTGCTTTGTTTAACAAATTCTCCTCGCTGGCACCGTAGGAAATGTAAAGGGGACAGTATGGAAAGTCTGCATTCTGATGTTTGGGCGTGAAGGGTTGCATCAAAGTGCGAACAAATTCTCTTCTTCAACAAAGTCAGCCCTTCATAGGTCCTTCGTTGGCTCTTTCGTTGATAAATCCTTTGCGATTCACTCACCGTAATTATTTTAAGTTCTGATTCAGTTTACAACCAAGAAGAATTCATAAAACATTCACGTGACTACCTAGCGCCTCTCTGAGAGGGTTTGTGGTTTAGATTTTAAAGCTAAACTGCTTAGTAAAAGCTGGACGGGTGCAAAGGTTACCTGTTTACGAAGAGCTTCCGTTTCTCTCTTGACGGCCGCATCTAACTCGTCCTTGGTATATAACCGCACCTAAAATGTTACAAAATAACAAAGGGTAAAAATACTGGAGTAGGTAAGGTGTGCAGAACATCAAGTTTCGATAACTTGAAGTTGTGTACTATGTTATAAGACTAATTGCAGAAGTTACGGAGCGCAAGAAACCAAGTTTCAGTAAACTGAAGCGTCGTTCGTACAACAAAATAACTCGAGAGCTCTATATACGACGTACAGTATCCGAATTGTCTTTTTATTATCACCCGAAATTAGGTTCGCAGAAACGTTGTAAGAAATGACACAGTCAAGTAATTTCCAGCTAACCTCTTTTGTCACCGTGCGTTCATGGGCAGAAGGTCCCAGACATCCAAAAGCCTTTAAAAAACTCCAGAAGTGCATGATCTTTTGTCAGTGTGCTCTTTGATCCGTTCGAGCAACGATCAAGTGATCAACAATGGAACAAAACACGACGGAAATTACGAGCATCGCAAATTCGGAGAAGCCATTTAACTGCGGCTAAAAGTTGTTTCAAAAAGCTTCCATGATTTTTTTACAAGCTTCTTTAGATAAAATCTTAAAATCCTGTCGATAAAGGCTTCACAACATCGCTGTTTTTTCTGCTAATATGGCGAGTCTGAAGTCGCTACCACCCGCTAAATTTCGTTGAAGAGATTTTAGAGCGCCAAAATTAACAAAAATAAAAACCATTATATGTACTCCATCTGTCTCACAAACTGACAGGTTGCAAGGCAAGTTGACCAATGAAAAGACACGATCTTCCCGGTTATTATCCATATAAGGGTAATCACTGATGTTAATGCGTCCAAAATACACGATCAACTACCAGTCACCTCGCTCATAAATCATTAATATTAAATGACTACAGAAACACTTAGGTACGAATCCGCAAGCTATCTGTTCACTGACTCGTTTCGACGGTAATGGGGTCAAAACAAACCACGAAGGGAAAATTATCCCGACATCAGAAAAATATTTCTTTCATTTATTTTTAAATCATTCTTCGTAGTTAATCTCATGTAGCTTGAATTTCTAAATCTTGCCACGAAATAGCTCCCTCGTTACGTTTACATCAAACATATTGCAATTTCGGCATACATTTCAAAGTTGAAAACAACCGCGAAAAATGAATTTAAAAAATAAAAACATACATTATTAATATGACAAAATTTACTTTTGAATCAAACTATGTGCTAGATTTAAATTTTTTCCGACAACCCTTGAATTTTGAGGTAATTTCCTCAACAAGTGAATGATAGATTGAGATTGATTTGAAACTTCACCTCTGAAGCGTAGGGGTTTACAAGGAAATTGTAGTCTGAACCGTCTACAAAATATGTTGTACATAATAGTTCTTCTTTACATTTAATATATTTTGTTCTATCATGATTTGTCGGATATTTGCGTCTCGAAAACGTTTAATGGAAAGTAATCAAGAGACAATACCTCGCAGTAACGATTTTACGAAAATAAAAAAAAACCCGAAAAGTCGCATTCTTGTCGATGGGTAAATTCAAAATTTACCCCAAATTTTATTATACAATACCATAAATTCCCCGGTTTTGAACTTGAATAGCCCACATTTTCAACCAGGCTACATCTAGATGTAAAGTACTCAGATACACTTAAAATACTTCAGAGTTGAAGAGCGAAGAGTAAATATAATTTTTAAAAAATTGGTCGCTGCTTGCAAAAAAGCTTTATGGTATTATTTAGAATTAGGTTTTTTCTTAGGCAAACGAAATACTGATAGTAAACAGAATAATCTAACACCATATTTAAGAATTCGTGCATTGTAAAAAATGAAATAAAATTTTGGAATCTTTATTTAAGTAAAGTCATTTTGAAAAAAAAGATAAAGTGTTTATTTTCTTCTGAAATGCCCAAAATCCAATATAAAAATCATGCAACCAGTCTAGTCACACGCACGTCTTCGCGAAAGGAAACAAAATAATGAAACCGAGTACATTTTTATTTTTAACGCAAATACACCGCTTCACTTGAGCGTATCAACAACAAACGATTCTCAAAAGCGACTTTTTGTCAATAGAAACTTCCCCACTGAAAATCTAGAAGCATTTAGATTTTTTACCTTTTCGCGCGGCGCTTCTTCGTCTTGCACCTCAATGTTGCTTATTTCTGGCGCAGAATACGTTTCCACAAAGTTGTTGGATTCTTCCACAATGATATTCTCTGCTTCTTCAATTTCGGTTTTCGTACCCTGAAAACAGAAATAATTTACACAGACAATGTTATCATTTAGGCACAGCAGGAGATCTGCTTTAAGCGTTTCGTGTTTCCGCTAGAGTCTGAAGGAATATGCTGCGAGGAATTGAAAATTTACATACATTAACATTTAAAATCAACCCGGAGTAGTAAAGCGACGGATATCAAGTGAAGTCGTCGGTAAAAATGTATTTTCTCTCATCAGTCAAGAAAATAAAACACTTTTCTTGACATCTATCAATTTGGTGAGAATTTGGCAAATTGACAGAATAAGACCTTCACGACGTAGAAATTTCGAAATGCCGCGTGTAAATACAGTAAGTGGTGAGGATATGAAAACAAAAGGGGCTTTTTAAAAGAATTTAGAAAATAATCCCCTTTAATTCATACAAAAATTCGTCCTCTTCCTTTCATTTCGTCAACTGGCAAATAATAATTTCGCTGTGGCAGAATATATAAAACCAAAACTATTTGATTAAATCAAAGTACTTTATTGACTGAAATTACCTTCAACGCGAGAAGACGGGAAGAGTTAACTCCACACTTCCCAGTGGGGAAATAATTTGTCACGCATGTTCTCAACAATGAGGAAATTGCGTGACAAGTTAAAATAGAAATGTTAGGAAAAACTATGTTCGCTAAAGTGGTTTCTTTGTTTTTGCTTTTTTTTTTTTTTTCCCGTCTTCATGTGCGAAAATAAATTCTTAATTAAGATTTTAAAACAAAATGTATGTCCAGGGTAATTGGTGATTGTGGCTCCAGAAAGAAAAGAAATGAGAAAAACCGCGAGAACTTAACATCATGGTAAGAACATTACTTGGGAGGTTGTCGAAGTGAATGAGGAGTTGGTACTGATGTACAATGAAGCTAAGTCGCATTTCATGGTCTAAATCACAAAAAAATATTTCAGTCT